TGTTGCCTGTGTTTTTGGTTTTTGCTGTGTCTCTGTTTATGGGATGTTGAAAGGATTTTAGTTAGTAGCTTGTATTCTAGTTAGGAGCTGTTTTGCTGGCAGTTGTGGTTTTGGAGTGGTGGTGCTTTTGTTAGTTTTATTAGTATTTTAGTTTTTATGTTGTTTTTGTGTCCAGGTGGTTGTTGTTGTAAATCTACTTTGGCCCATGAATTCTGTACATATTAGTTTGTTAATGAATTAAAATCGTTTGAGAAAAAAAAAAAGATTGGTATTGAATTTCCAGATTCTCCATTGACCATTGACTATTGGATTTAACCGGTTAACCGTCAAACCGGACCGTCTAATGCAGTCCGGATTATGGTCGGTTACAAAATAAAACCGGTTCGGTTATGGACAAGAAAAAAAATTAACCGTTAGGTCCGGTTTGGTCACAGTTTGGGCTAAAACCGGACCAATCCGGACAGTGAACACCCCTAGTAAACACTCGCATCAATTTCTCGCCTGTCGCCTCCTCTCAGTCAGGCAATATCTGCCGCCACGGTGCCGTCTGTCACCGGACCAAGCAGCCCGTCACTCTAAGTGTCGTCATCCCGTCTCCTGTGTAGAGCTTGGCCGCTTTCATCCATCGTCTATCTCAGATTTGTGAAGAGGGATTCTGACGAGTGCCGCGACGTGGTCGAGCGGCTAGCTCCAACTGTCTCCTTGGCGTCGGTCAGGGCTGAGGTAAGGGTCTTATTCTCCATTTTTTTTTCGTTCTCCCCTGGTGCTGGGATGTCGGAATTTAGATGACAAATGCGGGCTACGGCTCTAGCCGCCTAGGCCTACGATCGCCGGTGGGTGTGTGGAGAGAGGTGGTGTTGTCCTCGGGTTGTGGTTTGGGGTTGGCTGTTCTAGAGAGAATTGTGCTACGTCTGGTGCAGATTCAATTAGCCTTAGTGTTCCAGAGCTTCTAGATCTGTACCGGGGCACTGGTTCAATTTGTGTGGGCGATCGTCTCTGGGTGTTGGGTTTGTAGTGTGTTGCGGATTGTTTGCCAGTTAGTGAGGAGAGTGTTATTCTAGTATTGCTAGTCTTTAAGTAATTTGTGTTGGTGTTTGTGTTTTGAGTAGTTTTGCTGGTTTGTTGTTTATTCTTCTTGATGTGTTAATTTATCAAGGACCGGGTTGAACCGATCGATCTTCGAGCGTCATACAATGCGCCGGAAAGGAGTCCCGACTAGACACTCAGAAGCTCAAGTGATAACTTGCTCAACAAAATAAGCTAGAAAGTACATGTGCAATATATGAAAGTGTGATCATAATTACATAGAACCTGGTTAGCTTAGTATAGAGCAGGTACCTTAATTTCCAAGAGAGTCCTCACCAGGAATGAGAACTACTCGAGTCTACTTTCCTAGCTTACTATGTCTGTATCTAGGCAAACCTCTTTAGCAAGTTATACTTTCCAACCTACTAGAATTCTTTCCCCCTTTACCCTACAACTCTTAGGTCCTTGGTCGTAATCAGGACCTCCTGACGTTTTTTATGTAACCTAACTATGGACGACCCCCGACCTAGACACCTTGAGGTCACTCTTCATACTCGAGCTTTTGGAGGTCGTAGCCTCCAGGTTATCTTTATCAAGTCGAGCAGTATCTTAAGCTACGTCAGCGAGCTCGTTGATTGGGTTATATTCTTCTTAGCAAGTCGGGGTTTATCTATAATGGCCTATCCCGAGCTAACCACTTTGGCTGATCCGCCAAGCTATTCTGGGTGTTAAATACTTTGTTGAGCCTTTGAGTCTGGTCTTCTTTTGCATTTAAGTACACTGTCAGATAGTCTAAGAGAATGTGAGAAGCCAAAAACCCCTCATCTACCTGGTATCAGGAGATTTCAACACATTCTATGTCCACGTGGGAATGTCTTATCAGATTATGTTCTGCAAAATACATGCCCTTGATCTTCTTGCCATTGAACTTTTGGATCTGATCGATCATATGACCATTCCCCTTTCTTAAGCTTCTAAAAGCCCTAGTCGCGCCTCAAAAGCTCCTTTACACTTTCTGCAAACATACCAAGATTTTTATATAAAAAAATCCTCATTCAGCAAGAAAAAATAGTCTCCGGCAACTTCTAAACCCAGGCTCCGCATCTGTTTTCCAGCAAGTCCTTACATTTTCTACATTCTCCTGAGGACGATGGGTATGTTCTAATCCTGTCTTCAATATATCTTTTCTCTTTCAACATTTTTTTTTTCTTTTTGGGCTCTTCCGGGAACTAGTTTGCCCTTTCCCATTTTGTTCTTACTTTTGCATCCATGTTAGCTTCTTATACCTATTCTTCTTCGACCCTTTCTTTCCGAGCCAAGCTAAACAACTTCTTCGAAAATATTTTATCTGTTCAAACCGCTCTACCCTTTGGTGTTCAACTCTATTCAAGACGCTTCAACCACGCAACTGTGGCAAAGGACGCACAAGCCACGGTCATTTCTGACCTTATCCAAGTGATCAGACCGAACCCACTGTCATCTTGGTCTGATACTTAGCTAGAACAACTTGAGCAAACATGTGAACATACCCGATCTTGGGTCGAGAAGTTGCTATAATTTCTTAAGGCCTCGCGGAACTTTGGTGCCACGGACGGGGGTAGTTTGAGTCCCATGCAATACACCCAAACAATCCTTCATTCTTTGATTGGGAGTGCTCAATCGTCTTCATATTAAGGACCGACTAGAGTTCCTTGATGAAGTCCCGACTGTTAATGTTGTATACTGAAAGATTGACTTTGCATGTTATTACACTTTTGCCCTTTATGAATGAGAATCATGTTAGATTAAACAAGTTCTAAGTTCTGTTGTTTTGCACTTATATAGAGTGAGTCGTCATCGGGCGAACCAAAAATCATTCTATCAGTTACTTGCGAAACAAGAATAGCGGTTCACAACCTAGATGGACATAAACACCCCATCCGAACGGTTGTATTGTCAACTGTACAGTTTGTCTTGACTGATTAGTTGCACTAGTACATTTATGTATTGAAAATGATCTCAGAGAGGAGAAGTTCATTTTATGCTGATCGTCGAAAACGAACTAGGCCTCGTTTAGTTACTGCGTTGTCTTAACCCGTAAGATATTAAACAGACATATATATGTAGTATATATTACTTTATTCACTTGGGTGATGTTCAGTTCGCTGGATTACTATTCCTACTGTTTTGGGTAATATTACTATATATAGTATGTGATTTAGGATATTTACGGTCACCATGTGCGTTAGTTTGATGATGTCCCCGGAGTGAGTTCATGAAAGATTGTTATGCTAAACCCTACAGGTGGATTAAATTCTAGCTTAATAAGAATGTGATGAACGAGCGCTAGCTTTGGTGAAAAGAAAAAACATATACTCCAAAGAATTAATTGATTTATTATTATTTCACCAAAGCTAGCACTCATTCACTACATTCCTATTATGCCGGAATTTTCACCTGCAGGCTTTAGCATAACAATCTTTCATGAACTCACTCTGGGACATCATCAAACTAACGCACATGGTGACCGTAAATATCCTAACAACACATCCTATATAGTAATATTACCCAACACAGTAGGAATATTAATCAAGTGAACTGGACATCACCCAAGTGAATCAAAGTAATATATACTACATATATCTGCCAGTTTAATATCTTACGGGTTAAGAGAACGCAGTAATTAACCGAGGCCTAGTTCATTTACGATGATCAGTATAAAATGAACTTCTCCTCTCTGAGATTTTGTTCAATACATAAATGTACTAGTGCAACTAATCAGTCAAGACAAACTATACAGTTGACACTACAACTGTTCGAATGGGGTGTTCATGTCCATCTAGGTTGTGAACGAGTATTCTTGTTCGCAAGTAACTGATAGAATGATCTTCAGTTCGCCCGATGACGACCCATTCTATCTAAGTGCAGAACAACAGAACATAGAACTTGTTTAATCTAACATGATTCTCATTCATAAAGGGTAAATGTGTAATAACATGCAAAGTCGAGCTTTCAGTATATAACACTAACAGAGAAGAGTCGCGCGGTGGGTTCCTTGCGACGTATGCTCCGAAAGCGACGACAATATCCCGATTGTTACTGGGTTCAGACGACGCTCGCGTACAGAGAATATGGAGGCGTGGATGGGAATTGTGATTTCTGTGCCTGAGAAGTGAGAAAGTTAGGGCTGGGAAGAGTTAGAGCAAGATAGAGAATATGAACTGATTTTTTTTTTGACCATTTTTTTTTTAATTCTGAAAAAACTGGCAACCAACAGGAACGAAAATTAGTAAGGCATGGTCACGGCTTAACTGAAGAGAAACAATACATTTTACGTGTGCACACGTCTTATTTAAAAAGAATCATTCCTGCCTTAAAATTTTGTCATAAATCCTATCAAAACTATAAAATACGAACCTTAAAAAAAAATAAAAATCAAGTACGAAAATAGGAAAAAAAAAAGTTTGGGTTGACTCCCAAAAAGTGTCTATCTTTAACATCTTCGGCTAGACATTATTTCGGTACTCAACCAATTCCCTTTTTAATTTTTTTCAAATCATGCAAAAGACTTTGTTCTTGATCCTTGATCAAATTCTCAACAATCAATAGTGGCAATTCCAGCACCTGCAAAATAAAATATGAATCGTCAGTAAGAGTAACAGGTGATATGGTATCAGTTAGAGGAAACCAATACGATTCATATAAGCTATCTTGAAACTCTAGTGAACTATCAAAGGTTAATAATTGAAAAGTACAAATTTCAACTTATCCAAATCACTCGAGTCAAGATTTTTCGGCACTTCAAATTTACCAACACTCATAAAATTACTAAGAGGCAAATTACTTTGAGACTGGAACACCACAACTTGTTCAGATTCTTTCATGAATTCACACTCTATGCTAGGAGACTCCGTCAACTCTGTAGCACAACTCGAGGTATCTACCACCGTTTCTGATGACAAATCAACTTGAGATACGCTTTCGCTCACTGAGGACACAAGTTGGTCCAGTCGATCAACTAGATTCTTAAGGCGGCTCCTAGTCTCTTGTTGAATCTGTAAAGTACTAAGTGTAACCGACTTAGCAATTCCTTCAAAAGATGTGATCAAACTCGATGGATGTTGTTGTTGGGTAGCAAATGGTGTAGAATGCGAGTAATCACCCCAACACTCAGAGTTGCAGCTATCATAAAATCTATCAAAGCTACCTTGTTGCGGCTCTTGAAAATTTTCAACTTGAGAATCCTATAGAAACGTTGGGCAAAAACAAGTGGAGTGTTGGGAGTCACCACAAATTCCACAAAACTCAGATTGGCACGTGCTTTCCCTGTGATAACCATTTTGCTCGAACTGCTGAGAATATAACTCCATAAAATATAAGCCTCTTGCACAAAAGAATAGCGCACCAAAACAAGTCTAATTATAAACCAATCCCCGACAACGGAGCCAAAAATTGGTGGGTGTCGAATCCAACAATAATAAATTCCTACTTCTGAAATAACTGTAGTAGTGGTAAGCAGGGTCGTATCCTCAGGGATTGACTAGACAGAGTACTGATGCAACTATTCGTGAAAGAAATAAAAATAAAAATGATGAGGGTTTTGATGATTTTATCTAACTAATAAAGATGCAATAAAATAAAATTTAACTAGATACGAAAACAAAACGAGTGGTTCAAAATAGAGAAAATATCCAACCAAAAGAAAATACTATAGAAATGGTTCAACATTTCGACCACAGATGCAAAGATAATTGTAATGCCCCATTTAATTGTGGTTTATTTGAGGATTATTATTATTTTTATTATTGTTGATTATTATTATTGTTATTATTATTAATATGATGATTGTTATCATTATTGTGTGTCTAAATATTATTATTTGTCTAATTGTAATTAATTACCTAAATGTATAAATTTTTAGTATTATTATTATTATTATTATTTATAAATATTGTGTGTATTATGTATACGTTGTATTAGCCAGTTTTATTTTAATTTTCCCCACGTTGAACCGATCCTCGAATAATCTTTGAGTCGAGCCTGAGAGAAACCGGTCGATTTTGTGCATTAACCGTAGCCATTTTTTTGGATCAATTTCTCTAGCCCAATTTGATAAATACTTTGGCCCAATTGGAGTTAATAAATAAATTGACCTTGTCATTTTAATCAATTTCAAAGAGCCCATCAGATGAAAAAAAAAAATACCGTTTCTCCTTCTTTTATCTGCACGACCCAGTCCTAGCATTTTATCTGTTCGTTTAAACTCATGAGCGAGTCTTACGAAGATTTCTCCTCCAACGACGCACGATCTTCATCCTCCTCCATCGTCTATTTACATGCTCAGTGGATGCCTCCATTTCAAAAATCACACGCATCATCCTCTTAAAGTTCTCCTTTCTCGTCGCTGCTCCCGCAGACCATCATCTCCGGCCACCATCATCATCACCACCTCCGATCATCATCTTCCTTACCTCGCCGCTGCATCTTCCGGCGGGTCTCCCCTCCTCCATCGACCACCACTGCACCTTCAACGGCGAGCTCCCGACGTGCGCGACCCAACGTTTCCGGCGAGACCACTCCAGCGGACCAACTCTTTTCCGACAGGAACCCGTCGTCAACAGCTCCTCGCCGGTGTCCCTTGGCCACGAACACCTCGCCTCCGTTCGCGAGCAGCCCTGGGCCCTATTCGTCGAAGACTTGCCGTTCAAGTCTTTTCGAGTTTCGTCCGTCCGAACTGTCTTTCCGATCTCCTCCCCGAAGACGGGTAACATTTATGAACCCTTTCGTAATTTCTTACGAGCTCGAATATAACATGTTAGACATATATATGCGTATATCGTGCGTCGGTTCGTTTTGTTGTATTAACCGGGCATTGATAACTCTCGTCTTTTATAAACCGAGTTTCATGTAGTTTCCGTGATAAATCATATTGTGCTCGTTTATTGCTGTTAAGAAGTCATATTCCGTGGTCGAGCTTAGAACATTCGTTATATATGTTGATTGTTATTTCATGTGAAATCGCATGTTTGCTGTTTTTTTTCTGCCTCAGTTTACTCCATCAGAGACCGGTTATTTGCAGTTGCAATCTTCTTATGAAATGTTGTATGTTCGGTTGTCTGTATCTGGGCTTTCGAATTTCATAATTCCGAGCTATATCGAATAAGTTATGATGTTTACGAGAATATTGCGCGTCCAGTTTTTCCTGTTCCCCTGCAGCATGTGTGTAATTAATGTGTGACCTGTTTATCGTGTCGTAATGTACTCGTATGAATTTATGCTCTGTATTAAAGTTACAGGTCTGTTTTCTATCTTTCAAATGAGATAATTTTCATGTTAATATGTGCTCTGTAGCTCGAGTTGTGTTCTTATGAAGGTAGACATGCATGAGATAGAGTTTTGTACCTGGACAGAAATCTGATGTTAATTGTTAACTCATTTTACATTATCTTAATGACCTTATATACTTTTGTGTTCTTAATTAAAGTTTTAGAGGCATGCTTTAGGTTTAATGTGAGACTTGAATCATGTCATTAGGAGATCTGTAACTCGATCTAGATGATAAACTCTGAAGTGCTGTCTACATCACATGTTAGTCTCTGGCAGGTTTGCTGAATCAAATGTTTTGTGATTAAACTCGTTGATAATATGATTATTTGTCAATGTGATCTTCAGAAAAGTTGTAGAAATTAGAGTTATCTATAATGTGGTTTTTGAATCTCATTGAAAGCATGCCTGTAGCTCCAGTTAGCTAACATTTACTGAATCTGGTCAGTTGCATATTCCCAATTTTGGACTATAACTCTATTTTTAGTGTTTTCTAATTTATCACATGTTAAATGACCTTATTTGATTTTTGTATCTTCATAAGAATTGTAGATGCATGTCTTAGGATTTCAATGCAACTTGAACCATGTTCATATGAGTTATGTACTGATAATTATGTTGGTTTTAAAAACGCTGCTCGGGTTAAGTTTCGAAAAACTTGTATGATATTTTCGGAAATGGGATTTCCTTGATTAAATGCATGATTAAATGCTTATGTGAACTTAGTTGGACTAAATAATTTTTGATTAGTCGTTTATGGGTGGAATAGTCATTTATAGGGCTATTTTATTAAATGTAGGTTCTTGACGAGCCGAGCTCGCCGCCTACACCCATTTAGTGTTATCTCTCGCTTTTTTCCAGGTGGGTACATTTACGTTGTATCCATAATTATCGCACTCATTATTTCGTATAAATATTTCGTTCAAAAATTGTTGTATGCGTGAGAACCCTAGTTTAAGTGTCCCGTTTGTAGTGCCTTTGACGAATGCATAAACAGTGAGAGGTCACCTACCCGTTTTATCCGGGAGGAGGAAGTCCCGAACCGTTGTACCCGGGGGCAGGAAGGTTTCCAGTTACTTCCATGTCGTGGTATCCGGAAGGTTGTTGTATGTACATAAGAGGTTTGCGATAGGGCCGGGTAGGGAGTTAGACCTTAGATTCTATGCATACTGTATACTGTGATATTGTTTTTTTTAATTCATTATGCGATATAAACTGTGCGATAATGGTGAGCTTGATGGTCATGCTCACCCCCATTATTTTTCTGTTTGTCTCCTCTTCCTTTTTCCTTAGGTTGAGCTGAGCTGGTGGCGGTGGCGTAAAGACGAGCGAGATGGTGGTCATTGGTTGATTATTTTTCTTTATATTATGCTTTCGCCGATTTTCGAACTGTTTTATGACTTGGTTTTACTTTCCTGCTTCATTTGGATATTGATTATGTCAGATTAAACCTTTGGATTTATGGTTGTTTTGGGAACTTAATAAATGCTCGTATTTATTTTTATAACTGTTAGTTATGCATGTGTAGGTTTAATCTTATGTGTTTGTATTTTTGTTAAATTGTTCTTGGTAGTTAAGTAGCGCCTGTTGAGTTTTAAAATTTAATTTGAAATTTGCGAAAAATTAACTCTGTTTTTTATAAATAAATTCGGTAAATCCTTTAAAATAAAATGGGGCGTTACAATAATTCTCCTACTCTCGATTAAACTGGTTATGGTTATTGATACGACCTAACAACCTATCCTTCCTTACTTATCCGATAACCAGGATATGATCTTTAATTATTTCTCTAATCAATAGACAACCCTAGATACGATCATAAGATTTAATCTTTCAACAGCAATGAAATCTAGAAGGACCACTAATTCTAGCCAACAAACACACATGTAGGATCATTTAGACTAGATCATATATCTCCCTAAACATAAAATCGAAAACCCTTAGTAATCAAATATGTTCTTTGCCACCAATATTAGAACAATGAAACAATTACGGATTTAATGTCCTAAATGGCGATATGCTATTCCGATAATTGAACAAAGAGCTCTTTTGGCATCAATCAACTAAAATAATAATTGATAATAAACACAAGAGACATACGAATAAAAGAGAATATGGAATAGAAAATTCAATTAGATCTCATAAATGATGAAGAACCAAATGATGAATAATCATTTGGCTAGAAAAATAAATCAATTCTCCGTAAACATGAGAGTCTTCTCCCAATTATTCATGAAAAATAAAACAAAAGAAGAGAATAGAAGAAAAGAAGAGAAGGGCGTGCATGGAGGGGAAAGAAGAAGAAAAGAAGAGAAAGATATAAAATATGCAGTCTAATTTTTTAATCAAACCAGTCTAATCCTAATTCTAGCAGAAAATATGTAGAAAATAATAAAGAGTTCATTCTCTCTCCAAAATATCCTAATAAAATATAATATTCCAAAAATAAAGACTCCTAAAAGGTTTTATTATTCTCTTTCCACCTTGACACTCCTTCCTTCTTCCAACTCTCGTAGAAAATTAGCGTGCGCACGCCTTAGCTCAAATTTGTCTCTTTCGTCCTCCAATCATCATAAAATTCCAAATTTCGAGATATCCTACAAAAATCATAAAAATCAATAAAAATCAATAATTGAGCTCAAAACAAACTATGAAAAAATATGGAAAACTTGACAATTAACATGCCAAGAATACGACTTATCACCATGACACGCATTTGTTCTATTTATTTTTGTCTTGGTTTGAGACTTGAGTCAGCAACCGACCTGTGATTGACCTCTAAGGCTTTTCATTTGCGAGTGAGGAGCCGAGAATGTGGCTGCCCATTACTCATTTGTATGCTATTTTTCGGTTGTTGAAACATCCAGAGGCGGATCTACATGTGTGTTGGGGGAGGCCATTGTCCCCCCCAACATTTTTTTGTTTTTTCCTATTAAGTATATGTAAAATGATATTTTTTTTTATTCATGCTATTTTTAAATAAATAAATTGAGACTTTGATAATCAATTGTCTTATAGAATTAGTAGAAGAATTTGCACAACTCTATCCTAACTCATTTGTACTAGCCCATATATTAATTATTATAAATATTAATTAGATATTATAAGTCTTCTATAAATATGTTTGTATATAACTTAATACGCTACGAAGAGTAAACTTAATATACAGAGCATTTAAAATATTCAAGTTAANCAACTATTAATATGTTCCATAATTTGAGAAAACTACAACTCTAATTGCTAGCAAAGTTTGGAAGTACATAATTTTTTTATTATATTAAATGGATGATGTTTTTGAAAATTATATTGTTCACCACCTCCCCCACTAAATTTTTCTGTATTCGCCACTGAAAACAATAGTTTTGATATATAACTTTACATTTACCGTTAAAAAAAATATGGAGAAAAAGTAAATAAAAATTCCCACTTGAACCATTACAATAATTTCCATTTATGGAATGTTCTAACCACCCACACATGCTAGCAATAAGCCACCACTGGTGGCTCATCTACCCTATGCATATGACTATAGTCTGTACATATACAAATATGCTCTATTTTTTTGGTTTTTCTAATTTTTCCGTATAATACCAATATGCATTTTGTATATATAGGTGTATATATAATTGTGTTTCTATATTGGGTTCCTTTTCTATGCCACACATTATTGTATTTCTTGAGTACATTTTAATATTTTGACTTTTCTTTTTTATATTATTATTTTTATTTTTCTATTTATCTATATCTATATCTATATCTATCTATCTATCTATACTACTCTAAAAGGACGAGTGTTTTTGTAAAAATATGAACTACCTAAAAAACCCTTACTTTGACATATTTTTAATGACAAATTAGTAATACACTAATACACATCATATTTTATATTTTCAAATATTAAAATGAATTACCTAATAAGCCCTTACTTTGACATGTTTTAAATGGCAAATTAGTAATATATTAATGTGCATCATATCTTATATTTTTAATTATAACTAATATTTAATAATTAAATACAAATACATGAACAAATCATTCCACACTCCTAAAATCAATTACAGTATGTTGGTTTGGTACCATTATTTCTCACGATTTGTTTTCTTCCACATATCTCTAAAACTGTTTGATTGAAAAACGTCATTATTTTTAATATAATTTTAATGGTAATATTGTAATCACATTTCATAACTCTAATATATAAAAGTTCCTTAAAGAAATTAAAATTGATCCAACTAAAAAAGCATAATAAACACTTATAATACTAGAAATTTTAGACGATAGACAATAGTTATTTATACTTTTTATCCATGTAAGTTAAAAATTTATTTTTATTTTTTTTAAATAAAGCTTTGATAATTTTGATTTTAAATAACGTTTTATTTGCTATTATTTTTTTAATATAATATATAAATACCATATTATATATATACAATAATACTTTTTATTATTTGATATTTAATGTGCAAGAAATGTAACTCAATTGATAAGTTAATAGGTAGTCTTGCGATAAAATAATGAGCGATTTCTAAAAAATATATGGATTAAAAAGTTCATGTGTTTAATATATTTTCAATAGAAAAATTATAAATACATCTAATTAAAAAGTTCATGTGTTCGAAGACAAAAAATCCATCATGATTAAGGCCGAGAGGCTGAATGGTCGCATGTAACGACCACCCCTTTGAGGGTGGACATGTGCTCGAAGACAAAAAATATATCATGATTGTAGGAAGTGTCGACCGGCGGTCGTGTGGAAGACCATTCGCCGAGCTCGAAGGGCAGCCTCATCGACCAAGTGCTTAGCTCTTTGCTCGAATGCAACGTTTTCACGGGCCCGAGCTAGCTTCTCCTCCTCGAGCGTAGCTTTGAGAGCCTTTTTGGAGGCCAGGAGGGCCTCTTTCTCCGCTCGCTCAGCTGCGAGGGCCTCCTCGAAGGATTTCACGGCCCCCTCGAGCGTCTCATTCTCGGCGGAGAGAGCCTTATTCCGAGCGGCCGACTCCTTCAGCCTCTCGTGAAGGGCATTGGCCTTGACGACCATCTCGTCCAGCCGAGTGCCGAGCTGGAGATTACTTCGCTCGAGGGCGGAGATGGACCGACCCGGGCTAGCTAACGTTTGCTCGATCAGCGGTGCGAGCTCGACCATGCCCTACAAGGGCACATAAAAGAGAGTATTAGAGCACAGACGAGGGAAAGAAATGAAATAAAACGGATAAACCTAAAATTATAGTAGGTTACCTGAGCCAGCCATCGGGCAATTCGATCACCCCGGTCTCGAAGGGTGCGACCGTCATTGTAACGATCGATAGGGTGGTCGACGGAGGGAAGAACATCCCTGAGGTAATTCGAGAACCTCGGACCGTCGAACGAGGTGATCGAGCGGGAGGTCTCCTCGACACGGCGCCTCTTGCCGACGTTTTCGTCCCCCTCAGAGAGTAGATGCTCCATAGGCCGAGTTTGCTTTAGAGAAGCAGGAATGTGTATAACCGTGGTGGTTTGGTCGTGCGAAGGAGAGCGCGGCGGAGGAGACGATGTCGGTGGAGAGGACGGCTTCTCGAGCTGTTCTGACTGCTCGATGGGCTGGTCAGTTGGAGAGTTGAGCGAAGAGGGTTGCTCAACAGTTATGTCCGGAGGAGGGGAGGTCGAGCGTACGGATTGGGAGGTGGTCGAGTCAGCGGGCTTGGAGCCTGACCCCTCAGCAACCTATTTCTTTCTCAAAGGAGCCTTCCTCTTGGACACAGAGATAGCGGGCATCTCTGCAAAAAATTTACGCATAAGGTAAAGCCACAATAGATAAATAATATGTGGAACAAACATAATGATGTGAAACAAACACTATAATGCTCGAGCTTGTCCGATGACAATACATACCTGGGTCACCCTCTATCCGGATTAGATCGAGGGTTTTCTGGCTGGGGAGAGGACAGGATTTATGGGTAAGTAGTCCACAGAAATGCAAGAGGTCCTCATCCTCGAGCAAAGTCTTCGACGCGACGGGTTTGCTGTTCCATACTGCAATCCGTTGGCCGAAGAGGGCGTTGGTTGAAGGTATGGAATACTCGCGCGGTAGTTCTTTAAGCCAAGGAGATGATGCCCAGGGAAAGCAGGTTTAGGCTCGACAAAAGCGAACTTGTCTTTCCACCTGGGGACGTTTGAGGGAGTGTCTGAAATGAAATTGACATCGTTGCGGCTCTTGAGGTAGATCCCTTGAGCATGTTTTGAAGGAGTATAGCAGTAATGGAAAAACTCTAGATCGAGCCGACCTAGACGGATGTGGCAGAGGATGATGAATACAGTGATAAAACGGATGGCGTTAGGCGGGAGTTGGTTTAAGGGCAGGTCGAACCACTTGCAAAGATCGACCAAATCTCGGCTTAGGGGAAAACGGATGGCAAGTTTAAATTGAATCTCAAAGAAAGTGTAGCAGTTTTGGGGAGGGTTGTCATAGGTGTCTCGAGGGCCTGGAGATACGAAAGCCCAGCTGGTAGGATAGCCAATCTCTTCGGCATCCAACCAGCCAGCTATGAGAGAACGAGAGGAAGAAGAAGCCTTCTTGGAAGAAGTAGACACCTTGGTCGACTTACCCTTCTTAGGGGCAGCCTTAGGAGAGGTAGAGACAGGGATAGATGAAGAGGCAAGAGGTGTGGCACCAGTTGAGGATTTCGAAGCGCCCCTCTTAAGTTTAGGGGAAGAGGTAGCCCGAGCAAAAACAGAATGGCGAGAAAAGGGAATATTATCTTCGTCTTTCTCAGCAGTGGCTTCAGCGGCATCCAGAGCCTCTTCAACGGCATCAGAGGCCCCAAACGCCGGTCGACGGCGATTGAGAGGGATATGGTCAAGGGCATCCTCGTCCGATTCATCAATCAGACGAGTAGGTTGGCGAGGAGGAGAAGGTGTGGTGTAATCGGAAGGGCGTAGAACACTGATAGGAGCGGGATTGTAGATTTCTTCGACGGAACGGGAAGGCGAATGAGGAATAGGCCGACGAGTAGAGGGAAATGATGTGGCGATCTCGTCTTCGACAGAATGGTGGCTTGGTGAGTTAGAGTCAGCGGAATCTGAAAAGTAGAACGAACACGTGAGAGGAAGAGAAATGGAGTTAGGGTTTTCGAAAGCGAAGAAGGAGTTTCCTTTTTGCCATAGACGAGATGAGAGGGATTTGGGAAAAAGAAGAAGTAGCAGGGAAAATTGAAAATTGACAAAATAAACGCACGCAAATATAAAATTGAAGCACAGAAGACTTACTCATGGTTGCAGTAGAGAAGTGGTTGCCGGAAATTGCTTGAGAAGACGCCGAGTGCAGGAAGGAAGAATTTGTAGAGAAAGAAATCAGAGCGCAAGGGAGTTCGAAATTGCAAAAGTGAGGAAAGCGGAAAAAGTGGCTAAGTACCGCATTTATACGAGTACAAATGAATAAGGTGAAGAGTTAGGGGATATGACCGTTGGATAAAAGAAGATCCAACGGTGGAAAAAACTAAAGAGGCGCAGATAACGAAGAGGCGCAGATAACGAAGAGACACAAATTCCGAGGAGGCGTGATGATTAAAAATACAGAGTTGAGGGGACATGTGGCATGCGGAGATTATGCTGATAATAAAAGAAAATAAAAAACAGTTATAGTGTGCATTAAAATGGACCACGTGGTCGAGGAAAGGCGGCAACATCAACAAAAATGATCGAGAGAAGAGGCCAGGTGCGAGTGGGAGATCGAGAGGATTGACAGAATGGAGAGGACAACTCGAATCCACTCTTAGATCGAGTCATTCAGACTCGACGAGAGTGGGGGGGACTAGATGATATGGGATATTATATAGCTGAGGAATAGACCGATTTGCATCATCGGTCGAGCAACCTCGAAGTGGAGAAAACCGGATTGGGAGAAGGATGATCGACCAAAAGGGAGGAGATCGAGCAGAATAGCAGAACTGGTCGAGGATCGACCAAAATGGAGGAGATCGAGCAGAATAGCAGAACTGGTCGAGGATCGACCAAAAGGGAGGAGATCGAGCAGAATAGCAGAACTGATCGAGGATCGACCAAAAGAGAGGAGATCGAGCACTCAACAGGTGAAGAGCAGTCTAGGGTGTGGCTTGAACGCGAGAAGGCGCGTGGATGACGTTAGAAGATCCCAACGGCCTGCGCAGAAGAATAATCTCCCTCAGCAAAGGGGGACACGTGGTGGGAATATATTGGTGCAGGGTGATAGTGGCGAAAACCACCCGTGACATCTCTGACACACGCACACTATGTGTGTACGGACGGGCAGTACGGGCATGACAGCTCACCAAAAGCCGGGCAGTTTCTAGGGCAGGTATCTCACTCCTATATATATGGGAGTGGGTCTTTTCTTGTAGCCTAAGATTTATCCATTCTTTACTTTGGAAAATTGAACAAACACATACTGACTTAAGCATCGGAGGCTCTTCACCGGAAACCCCTCCGGTGTGAGAATTCTGTGCAGGAACGCGGCGTTCTACCGGCAAGGAAGAAGGAGGCAAGCTGATTTCAAGCCGGTCGGAGTGTCTTGCGTTACCACGTTTGAATTTTTTTTGGGTCATTTTTCAACAGTTGGAAAAAATGTCACTGGAAATGTAAGAATTTCAATGGAAGTTCTATTCGAAATCTACCTGCAGTGGTGGATACAAAATAATTTCATACTTGAGGCATTATTTAGTTAATAGAAAAGGTATACCAGTAAAATAACATAATGTCATTATAATTTATAAATTATATTTTTCATAATTTGTCATCTTTCTCATCTATAATATATGTTACACATCAATACAGTTACAATTAAAAAAAATAACTTTTCTCTCAATTTGACATAAGCATATAATTGAAAATAATTATGTTTTTTAAAATTTTATGAACAAAAGTTGACTCGACAATATTATTGATGAATTTATGAATTATAAATCTTTAATTGTAGTATAAATTAAAAAAAATTATAATTAAATATAATATAATATAAGATATACAAATAATTGATATATACTGAGACAGATGGTCAAACAATTCCAGACTTTATATCATGCATTTTTTGACAAATCTACAGTTAGACCAAAAAAGTACGCAAGTTCAAAAACGAAATAGAGATTGGGACATTCTCAAACCATGGACCACTAACTTCCTTCGTCGGAACCAAAAGAGCTATGCATTCTTAACAAAACAAGAGAAGGAGCATTCATCAGACGGTAGCACACAAATAAAATATAGCTAGTGTGACCACCTCGAGAGCAAGTTTATAACAAGGATGCGTATCCCTGGCGGGTTCCAGCTCGAACGATTGGTCGAACTTTTGGAGGAGGATCGGGAACCAGCTAAGGTGCGATGATAATTGCCCTAAAGGCGTATGTCACGTCCGAACGTAATCAGAGAAGACCTACCCAAGCACTACCTTGTGATCATAAAGGTGAATGTCCCTGAAGTGGAGCCTCTTGAACCCCGAAGCGAACCTTAGCTAGACTCCTTTCAACGTCACAAGGGACAAGGGTTCTCGATTCGACCAATTCCTAGAAGGGTCTTCTTCGATAATCCTTCGCGCTGGGTCATGGTCTAATTCATAACGGATGCCATGTTTCAAAACCGGACACGGAAGACGCAGTGAAGGCATAAGTAGTAAAGGAGAAGAGAGGCGAAGTTGACGAAGAGCTGATTCAATAGCTATAGCTGCGGATTCTGTAACAGCTGCAGATTCGTCGAGAACATCTGCCCCGCACTGGGAATGGGGACAGGGACTCGCACTAGCCCTAACACCTTTCGTCCTTGAGAACATCGACTCATCTCAAGGTAGTGGTCGGCCTTCCTACAAAGCGAAGGTTTGGCCTTTAAGACCAGACCGCAAACCGTGTTCTTGACTCGTTTGACTAGTTTGACCGCTCGGCCAGAGTTGCTTTTTTCACCAATAGTGCGCTATGAGAACAGGTCCTAGTTAATGCCCCAGCTATATAAAACGACACTTTTGCAATTTCAATTCGATAAGAACATGTAAAAGAACAAGATAAAAGTTTTAAAAAAAATATTAAATATGATAAATAATATTAAAAATAAATAAGTTGTGATACGTACTATAAATATGAACAAAGTAATAAATAAAAATGTTATAATTAATAGAAGAAGTATAAACCTTTTATAAATATACTTATCGATGTAAACAAGCTGAGTTGTTAAACGCTTGTCAGTTTTTTCTCCTTATAATTTTATGTGTAAATTTGATGTGATAGACAATAGTTATTTGTACAATTATTCATGTAAGTTACCAAAAAAAAATCTTTATTATTCTAATTTTAAATAACTTTTTATTTGCTATATTATTTTTTTTAATATAATATATAAATATCATATTGAACATATAAAATAGGAAATATTCTAATTTTTAAATATTTAATATGTAAGAAATGTAACTCAATTGGTAAATCAATAGGTAATCTTGAGATAAAATAATGAGTAATTTCTGAAAAAAAAATCTAGGAACTAAAAAGATCATGTGTTTATTATATTTTTAATAGAAAAATTGTCAACACAATTAATCAATAAATACTACATAAAAAATTAATGTTTAAGAGGACTACAACAAATTGCTATATTGCAATGAAAAAATCAACGTTAAGGTAATCTACCGAAAATTCCAACGAATATTTCATGAATATTACTTTTATTGAAAAATTTCATTGGCAATTCCAACAAAGTTCAAATTAAATTACTTGAACTTTAGTGGATTTAAAGATTTCAATTACTTGAATTTCCATTGGATTTTTTTTGGACTATATTTCAATCGTTGGAAAAACTGTCATTGGAATTGTGCAAAAATTCAATGGAAATTCCATTGGAAAGCTAATTGCAGTGATACATCTAAAATAATTTCATGCTGGGGGCATTATTTAGTTAATAGAAAAAATATACCATCAAAATAACATGTCATTATAATTTATAAATTAATATATCACCTTTCTCATTTTGTAATACATTTTAATAAATCAATACAGTCACAATAAGATAAAATATATTTAAGAAACCAGAAGACATGATTTTTCTCAATTCAACTTAAAAAGATCGTTATATTCTTGTTGTAATTTTCGTTGGAATTTTCTCATTTTCTTGTAGTAAAAATAGGACTCAAAATCTAAAAAAAAAATGCATTATTATATAATATTGTGTGCAACTATTATTATGAAAATTTTGATATGATAGAAAATATAACACATTCAATGTAATTGTCGTTTAATTTATGATAATAAGTAACTTTTGTTTCAAAACAAACAAGATACTTTGAAAGATCCTTAAGCACTAGTCTAGACTAGTCGGCTAGGAAGATCCTTTGGTGTTGTCTTTCCTGTTCTGTTCATTATTTTATTAGTATTATAATAACTAAATAAGGGGTAAGAATGATGAGAAAACTTATAGCTCTCATTAAATCAAAGAGTAAAAATACTGATAAAATTACTTAATGTACAATATCAATTGGAGCTGGCTAATGAGAAATATAAAACATACTTAAGATACACATATATTTTAACTAGAACTTTTAGGTATACATTTCTTTAAATTTGGGTATGTTAATCTTAAAATTTTTTAATTAAAAATTTAATTACTTTCTCTCATTAAATTTTTTAATTTTGAGATACTTCATATTTTTTATTTGTTACTCTTTTTATATGTAATATATCACATTATTTCTTTTCAATAATGTTTGAGTTGACCAATATATTGCAAATAAAATAAAAATAATATAATTATTTATATCGATATATATATATATGTCAATAATAATTTTAAAATGATAAATTGACCTAAAATTATAGTATATATTAATTTATTTATTCAAGTTAAATCAATTTTATTAAGTATAAAATAACATAAGAAAACTTGTGGTATATTTTTCTTACATTTTTCTTACATAGATTTGAAACAATTCATATTAAAAATAACATAAAAAAAAAATAGAGGTAAACTTACAACTATTCCCACATTTTGACTAGAGCGCCCATTCCTGATATATATTTGACACTGGTTTGCCGTAATGCTGAAACTATGGCGAATGCACCTTAGGTACAAATGAAGCGAAGCAAAGTGAAATCATAGATAAAAGAAGGAAGAGACTAGGCCAGAGAAGGGGAATGAGATAACATTAGCTATGTGAATTAAAAAGACAAATAAATAAGTTGTACGTTAAACTATTATTCAATTACTGTTTGAAAAAGAACCCTATAAAGGTGGTACCATATATGTATTCAGTGATTATGGAAATGACTTAGTTACCTAATATTTTATCAAACATTGGAAAAAATTGTAGACTTTTTAATCTAATAATTCGTATAAAAAGTACATTTTTATCAAATATATTAAATTTACATTATATCTTATGTGATTATAGTAGTTGCAGCCTAATAAAAAAGATAATTTGAAAACATCATTATAGAAACACATACAAAAAATAACGCAATACGTATAAATGTGCTTTAATTATTTAGCAAATAAAATATTATTTATCTATAGAATAAGAAACAAATAATATAATAGTAACACAATGAGAAAAAGAATACGTGTGAATTTTCTTAGAGAAGTATGAATACCAATATTTACGAACAAAAAGTCTTTGAAAATTACTACTTTTTTGCTGCTAGCGTTTAAATATAGGGACTCTGTAAGAAATTGGTTTTCATAAATAATGATCCTATATTATTTATTTTTAATTTTAAATAATTAATAAATAAAAAAATTTGTAATACATAATGTATATTTTAATCATGACTCCATAATAATAAACTTTGCAGATGACTAAGAGTATCGTAATATAATAAAATTCTAACTCTTCTCCTATCAAATATTTTAACAAATGATATGTTTCTCAATATTTTCTCATTGTTTTAATTGTTTTGTTTTGTCATTGTTGGAGAATAAAGAAATGATCTTTATCTTGAATTTTATAATCATTTTGTATGATGAATAATGTTGGACAACAAAGGCATTAAAGAAGTTATTAGGCACACAAATATTGCATATTCAAACGAATGTGAAAGATATTATGATAAACAATTCTAAAATCATTCCAAACAGCCATGATGGTCAATAATTTTCAAATAATAGGTTATAATGTTCGTCTATATTCCAAATAAATAACAATGTCGGAGTATCAAAACAATTTTGAATGTTCGAATGAAGTTGTCACTTTTTATAGAAATATTTATAATCTCTTGGTATATTGTACTCGAACATATGTGCAATTACTCTAGAGGTACTTTCAGGTAATGTATGATGATTTCAAAAAATAATTTAGCATCTCGGGAGAAGTACATGTAACCAAAATTTTAGAAAGTCAAGTTTTATTTGGAGATAAAATTCATTCCCACCTCGTGGGGCGATGCATCAATGGGGTAGGCACCAATATGTCTAGAGACAAAGGAATGTAGTAGTTAATACAATGAAAAAAAAAAAATACCGGCAATTTTAATGACACAATTAGTTATTTTATAGAGATACTTATGCATTGTTAGTAGAAGTGCCTTATTATAAAGATTATACGATCATGAAGTTTGACTATATGTTGGATCAGAATGTTTCTTAAGTGTTTTAATAAAATTAGCGTTTTGCCAAATGAATTAAGAGAAATTTTGCAATAGTATTGATGTATTAGACTCCAAGGAGTATGAATGTTTCTTATAAGAACGATGAAAGAAAATCTTAATGGTTTTTGTAGTAAGGATTTGTTTTTTATATATTTTAGTTGGGGGTTGTAAAACATTATTTCACTCTTTTTATATTAGGACATCATTACGCTAATTATAAATAAAAAAATCCACATATGAATTCATTTGTTCTATATTTTATTTCATTCCTACAATGATATGTTTAATAAATAAATTAATTTATTTTACAAACTTTTTTTTTTACCAGAACGATAGGAAATTCTCATAAATCAAAATAAGGAGTTTTGATACAAATAGATCAACAGTCTAACATCGAAGGCTAAGCCAGAGACCACTACTACAACTAGTAGGGTAGAATACACAAATCAGACAACACCAAAGGCAGTGATAATAACCTGAGCCCTCCAGTGCAACCCAAACAAAGACATAGGCTAACAGATACAAACCAAAAGAAAAAGAATAAAGAAAACAGCCACTGAACTGTCTAAACAGACCTAGCTAGTCTTCCTTGTCCCTGGACCTTTCTCTTGGAGTTCACTTTGACAGCTTCTTGCCATTCTTCCCAAGCCCCTGACAGTATGCCTCTCTCTTTCCTCCAAACTTTGTCAAAAACCCAAAGGTTTCTAGCTTTCCAGAGCCACCACAGGATGTATGTGGTGAGCTCTATTCTATCCTCATCAATGGCAGTCTGGTTGATGGAGCAAATTGATCCCCACCAGTCTTTGAAGGTGCAGCCTGGAGTCTTCATTCCATCCCAGTCCAGCTGTGACTTTCTCCACACTTTTTGTGCTCTTGGACAATCAAGTAGAACATGTTCTATGGTTTCTACAGTTTCCCCACAGCAGCTGCAAATAACATCAATTTCAACCCCTTTGCTCCTCAAGTTTGTGCTAACTGGCAGGATTCCTGAGACACATTTCCACAAGAAGTGTTTGATTTTTCCTTTGGTATGTATGCTCCATGTTCTCAATCTCATCTTCTGGTTCCTTGTGGATGTGCTGCTGCCTTCTGGAATGTCAAGGGAGAGTAGCTTTTTGTGGAGCAGAAACTTATATGAAGAGGCTACTGAAAATTTTCCCTTCACTCCCATTTTCCAGCACCACTTGTCCATTGTGTGGGGGTTTAGTGATTGGATGTCTAGGATTGCTTGACAGTCTTCTGCCTCCACCAGCTCCCTAATCTTTGCTTCATCCCATTGGTCGGTGTCAGTGTAGGTAAGATCCTTGACCCAAAGGTGGCCATTGCTGGTGGGATCTTTGAGCTTAGGGCCTCTGCCTCTCAAGCAAGGGACCCAATTGTGATCTTGAAGTTTAACAGTGGCACCATTTCTAATGTGTATATCCAGCCCTTCATGCAGCAACCCTTTCATTTTCCATAGAGACTTCCACAGCCATGAAGAGCTTTGTTTCAGAGTGGCATCAAAAAGGGATGAGTTGGGAAAGTACCTGCTCTTTAAAATTCTGCTCATGAGTAAACTGGGCTGGGTAAGTGTTCTCCATAACTGCTTTACTAGCATTGCCTCATTAAAGAGTTTTATGTCCTTGAATCCCAAGCCCCCATGTTGTTTAGTGAGGGTGAGCAAATCCCATCTCTTCCAATGAATGCCTTTTGTATGTTCAGGACCTCTGCTCCACCAAAAAGTGGCAAACAGGCTAGCCACTTCTTTGCAGATGCTCATGGGAAGTCTGAAGCAGGCCATAACAAAAATGGGTAATGCAGTGAGGACTGATTGAATGAGGACTTCTCTGCCTGCCGTGGAAAGGTGTTTGTTTTTCCAGCTTATTAATCTTCTTTTAACTGCTTCAGTCACAAAGGCAAAGACTTCCTTCTTAGACTGCCCAATTCCCAAAGGAAGGCCCAAATACCTTGAGGATTTCTGAATTTGAATTCCTGGAAAAATTTGACACACTTCATTCTGAGTTACTGTACTAGTGTTCTTGCTGAAGAATACAGATGATTTGGCCACATTCACTTTTTGCCCTGAGAAGAGTTGATATCTCTTGAGTATAGATTGGAGAACTTGGGCTTGATACCTGTCAGCTTTACAAAATATTAAGGAGTCATCTGCAAACAATAAATGTGTGAGCATGGGAGCACCTCTGGCCACTGAAACTCCTCTAAAAAGGCCTCTCTCCATTTCAGCTGTGATGACTGCAGACAGAACTTCAGATACAATAATGAAGAGGTAGGGAGACAGTGGGTCTCCCTGCCTAATTCCTCTTTCAGCACTGATATAACCACTAGAGCAGCCATTTATGATGAAAGAATAAGAGACAGTGGTCACACACTCCATAATCCATTTGACAAATTGATGAGCAAACCCCATGTTGAGCATGGTGAGCCTAATACATTGCCATTCAATTCTATCAAAAGCCTTCATCATGTCTAATTTGAGTGCCATGAATGCATGTTTGCCTGTTCTGTGTCTGTTCAGAAAGTGTAGACCCTCATTGGCTATGATTACATTATCACTTAGAAGTCTGCCAGGTAAGAATGCAGACTGAGCTTCATTAATGCAACCCCCAACACAGTTTCTGAGTCTAGAAGCCAGAATTTTTGAAATAAGTTTGTAGACTATGGCACACAAGCTAATAGGTCTGAACTGGTAAAGATTCTCAGGAGAAGCACATTTTGGGATCAAGACAATCATGGTGTGGTTCCAGTAAGAGAGGAGTTTACCTGATGAGAAGAAACTGAGTACTGCATTGCAAATGTCTTCCTTGAGTATTGGCCAGAAATGTTGGAAGAATAAGGCAGGCATTCCATCTGTTCCTGGAGACTTCCCCGGGTTCATAGAGAATAAAGCTTGTTTGATCTCTTGTGGTTCCACCTGGGCAATAAGATAGCCATTGTCCTCCTCAGAAATGGTTGTAGGTACATGCTGAAGAAGATTTCCCCCTCCAGAGGATCCCTCTGATTTGAAAAGGTTGCTGTAAAACTCCTCCACATGAGTTTCAATCTCTTCCTTAGTCTCACAGATTGTGTGATGGTCTGTGATTAGCCTGCTGATGGCATTGTGCTTCCTTCTCTGCATCACCCAAGCATGGAAGAAGTGGGTGTTCTGATCACCTTCCTTGAGCCATTGAGTTCTGGTCTTTTGTTTCCAGAAAATCTCCTCAGCCTGGTTGGCCTCATCCATTTCCCTTTGTAACTTGTCCCATTCCTCCCAATTTCTGTGACCTCTTTCTTCCCTCATAGCCTCCATAGTCAGAGATAAATGTTTCAGATGATTTAGCTGGGTTGATCTGAAGTATTTACTCCACTGCAGTAAGGCCAATCGTGTCTTTTTAATTTTTTCCTTAATGCTGAAAAGAGGAGTTCCTCCACTGTGGTCCATCCAGGCTTTCTGTACCACCTCTGCAATGCCCTCCCTGTGGAGCCATCTCTGATCAAATTGGAACCTTCTCTTGTGTTTGGGTTTATCAGGCTCAGATTCCAGCAAAATCATGTGGTGGTCAGAAGAGCTTTTGAAAATGGAGGTGGTCTGGCTGTGTGGATACCTTCTGAGCCATTCCAAGGAGGCAAATCCTCTGTCCAGGCATTCTTCTACAAACCCTTCCTCTGATCTATTGTTACCCCAAGTAAAAGGGTAACCTTTGTGGAGAAGCTCTGCCATGCCCATGTTAGATATGAAGTTTTGAAAACCCCTACAGCTAGCTTGAGTTCTCGGTCTACCACCTTTCTTATCTTCTGGCTTGGTAAGGTCATTCCAGTCTCCAATGATTACCCATGTGTTCCCCCATGCCATCTTTTTTTGTTCAAGTTCTAACCACTGAAGCTCTCTGATGTTTCTATCTGTGCTCATGTAAACAAAAATGGCCCATCTGAAAGTCTCATTGATCTGCAGCCTGAATTCCACTTCAATACAAAAGGAAGAGCTAATAATTTGCCTAACTTCAACCTCCCTGCCCCAAAGCAATAATAGTCCTCCACTTAATCCTCTTGGTTCCACTGATCTGCATCTATCAGTAAACCCCAAATTTTTACAAACAGTCATAGTGAACATATTAGTATTCTTAGTTTCAGATAAGAAAGTAAAATGAGGGTGGTGGGTCCTTAAGGACTCCTTGAGCTGGGAAACTGTGGAGGCCCCACCCAGGCCTCTGCAGTTCCACACCTGAGCTCTCATTGGTCACTTTGGGGCCATTTGAGGCTGGCCTTCTCCACCTGTTTCAGCTTCTTGGGTTCAGATTCTTCCTCCTTATTTTCCTCTTCCACAGTGTTGAGAAGAGTACCACCTTGTCTGCCTCTCTTTAGTCCTTGCAGCTGGGACAGTTCCTTTCCTGTCATTTGTTTTCTTTGCAGCCTTCCTTCCTTATTGCCTGCTCTTTTCCAGGTTTTTAGTTTGGAGACAGAATCCTCCTGAGGTGCTAAATTATTGTCCTTCACAGCTAGAGCCAACTCTTTGTGAGGATATTGTGGATCTGTCTGCATTATCTCAGTGTTAGTGCAATCCATAGCTGCTAGAATAGGGGTGACCACAGTGTGAGGATTTTGTTGCTGGATTGCTTCCCCAGGAGAGCTTTGGTTATGGACAAATTCTTGTCTGGAGGAACTGGATTCCACTATGCTAAGATAATTACTCGGTTGCTGAGGGACAGCTAAGATGTCAAGGTTAAGTGGACAGATTGGTTTATCAGAGGTGGTAGGTGGGTTAGGTGTTTGGTGGGAGGCAGTTGGTGTTTCTGGTTCTTGGTCAGTGGATCTGCTGCCTTGCCCAGATGAATAACTGTTTCTGACCTCTGGTGCCCTTAGCCATGTACCATATTGTCCTTCTTTGATTTGTCCTTCTGCAATGTCCTTTGCCATTTTCTGACAGTCTCTATCTAGATGGCCAATCATGCCGCAGTAATAGCACAGGTTGATAAGTCTCTCATACTTGAAGGTCACGGTGATGAGTTCGTCTCCTAGCCTGAGAGATGTGCATCTTGGAAGAGCCTTGTTAATATCCACTGAGACTAGAAGTCTAATGATTCTGCCTCCTCCTGCTGCCGTGGTGATCCCTATATTTTGGGTGGCTTTGAAAATTTGACCAATCTTCAATCCTACATCTCTGCTAAGCCAATCCATTGGCACATTATGGACCTGAGTCCAGAGTTTGATTTCTTGAAAACAACTGTCTTTCTCACTGATTCCTCTTCTCCATTTATGCAGCACTAAATACTGGTTTTCATAAATCCAGTTGGTACCCAGCAAAACTTTTTGCATATCATCCTTGTTGTCGAATATAAATTGGAAGAAATTCGATGAGATTTCACGCACTTCCATACCTTGCTGGATTCTCCATATGTTCATTAGAGCTCTTTTAAGGCCGATGAGGGAAGCTCGCCTGTTGCCTATAATTTTTCCCATTAAGCTTCTGGCGCATTCCTCCGCACTACCCTTTATATCGTTGCGACCCAGGTCAATGACCAAGCTCTCCTCCCCTGAGAGGGAAATGTTCTTTAGCCTTTGGGTCATGTCCTCTGCTGTGCCAGAGACTGCCTCTGGGGTTCCCATTAGACAATTAGGTTAGAACTGAAAATGCTAATCAGAGAAAAGGAAAAGGTTGCAAGATTGCAAGTTGGAGCTAAACAGTTGAATGAAGAGAACTTGTCAAGGACTGAACTTCACTCGAAGGAATGAGCCCTCAGACGACGGAATCTGCCCTCACTCGACGGAATCTTACTCCCACCTGAGAGAATTCTCCTGATAGATTGTCAATTAAGAAGCTAATTTATTTTACAAACTTACTCAGCAAAAATCATTCGATACCACGTGCATCGCACGTGCACTTTACTAGTTTGTAAAAAATTCCTGAGTCCAATGCCTGATAAAACTAGATATTTTAAGGTGCATTTTCCAATTTAAATCTGACAAAATATGAACCAAGAGCAGAACAAATTAGGAACATCTATATATACTTTCTAAAAATTTAATTTCAGATGTATAGAACTAACGTTCATGCAACCATATCTGCACATGTTTTGGTCCCCCGTGGTCCAATTGGACAATGCGGTTTGTGCTCATGCAACCATGTCTGTTAAAATTGCGTACATTTTTGGTCCCCAGTGGTCCAACTCGACAATTCAGTTTGTGTTGTAATGATATCTCTATGTGAATGGTGACCAACCACAAGAAACAGTGTAACAATTCATCTGACTCCCGAGTCACCAAATTTCTATGGGAAAAAGTGTAACAAATCTATTAAATGAACCACAAAAAACAATTTACCAAAATTACAAGTCACGATAAAAATATAATCTAGCAAGGAGAAACGCCAGATTATTTTAAAAAATTTCAAGGTGATTGAAAATGAAAGACTGTACAAAATTATGGTGCACACAACATTCATTCCATGAATTCATTACACATAATATCTTTTGGACCTATGCGGAGTTATTGTACGAAATTCAAACGTAATATAATGTATTGTGGACTATATAATTAGTTGAACTTAAATAAATTAATAGTTAAATTTAATTAAGGAGAATATATATTTAATGGATTATTAATTTTTTAATATTAAAGAGTTTAATTTGTGATGTTTGACTTGGACAATAATTAGATTAGAACATGGAGAATGTTAGTAGAATTATGATTCTAAATGTACTCTTATATATACTACTACATGCCCATTTTTCTCTGCCCATACAAAAATAGAGTTCTCGCGGGATAGAGAAACAATTCATTGGCAAAGATAAACCCATCACTGAATATTATAAAATATATGATGGTAGATCAAGAAAACAAGGAAGTACTATAAGCTGGACTCTTATACTTATATTCCACGTCAATTTAGTTTATGCAAAAATCAATATCCTATGGATTTATAGAATCACATGCTTAGGGTTTATTCAATCCCGACTAATAGTTATGAATATACCCGTTAAATTTCTTACACTTAACTCACTCTCTATTGTTCGGAGAGAAAAAGAAAGAAAAAAGAAACTCATTCTCACATGGTCGTACCAAATTTAAAGTAACTTGTTTTCTCTATGTCAGAATACGCATTTGTGAGTTGTCTCATATCGTTTATACAGGGAAAATAAGCCTAACTTATAAGACTAGTGGGCTACTCTTTCTGCTACCAATTGGTTTTAGGATGGAACCCCACTAAGGCCCATCTAAGCTCACCCTACTTTGGTGCGCTTCACGTCCGTCAGACCGCACCCGTCAACTCCTGTTTCTTCAATTTACGAAAAAAAATACTCATTCTCACATGGCGGCTAGACCCTCTTTAAATTCTTCACCAAATTTCTTTATCTTTGATGGAGTAGTTGTAAGAAATTTAACGGGCATATTCATAACTATTAGGCGGAATTGAATAAACCCTAAGCATGTAATTCTATCAATTCATAGAATATGGATCTTTGCATAAATTAAATTGCACATAAAACTTATAAGAATCAAACATATAGTCCTTCCCTGTATTCTTGATCTATGATGTTGATCTGCGATTTCTTCCTCGTAATCTCCAATCATAGTTTTGTCTTTGCCTATGAATTGTTTCTCTCTCCCGCGTTTCTCTTCTTTTCATAAAGCCCTTGATGTTGAGAACTCTATTTTCGTATGAGATGGGAGAGAGGGGCATATAGTATATATAGGAGAAGTCCTACAAACCTATTCCTACTAACATTTTCCATGTTTTAACCTAACTTAATGTCCAAGTCAAACATCACAAATTGGTCTATTCAATATTATAACATTAATAATTCATTAAATACATATTCACCTTAATTAAGTTTGACTATTAATTCAATTAGGTCCAACTAATTATATGGTCCACATTAATAATAGAATAGGTTAAGATCATATGAGAATGATAGATAGTGAAAGAAATGAGAATGAATCTTGGCCATTAGATACATCATATCAATAACCATGATTAAGTAAAAATTTAACAAATAATGGTCAATCATTTATGGCATTATGGTAAATAATTATATGTATGGTGGCAAATATATACCATTTACCACTAACTAAGGGTACATCAGTCATTAACTCAATCAAACCCACCTACCCTACCTTTTATCTCTCTCTCTCTCTCTCTCTCTCTCTCTCTCACACACACACACACAGACACGCACAACATCACGGCAGATCCGTCATCGTCCACCTGCTCCGCCGCCGGCAAGACCTGTCGCCGCCACAATTGGTCACGTGGACGTCGCCGCCAGAGTCCATTGCCGTCACGAGCCGAACCACCGTCAGGAACCTGCTCCGCCGCCTCCACAATCACAACCTCCATCAGCAACATGTTCCGCCGTCGGCACGTCCTGTCATCGCCGTCACTGTTAGTCATGTTGACACCGCCGCCATAGCCCTCCGCCGTCAGCATCCTCAAACACCCACAGACTCCGATTATAGTCGCATCCTCCATGAGCAGTTGTGTCGTGGTCACCACCGACGACCACCGCGTCGGCATAGATCCAACCATGCTTGGAGTTCTTCTCCGCCGCACAGAGTGGCGGTCCTCGCCGGCGACAGGAGGTGCAACAGATGTTTGGGGCGACCGATAGGGTTAAGTTGCTTTTCTACGGAGCCATATCTGGCGGTTGGGCGGATGGCGACGGGGCGAAAAACTGCAGGTGGTATGTGGAACGTGTGTAAAGTGACGGGAATAGGATGTTTTGGTTGGGGGCTGCACATTGAAAATTAGACAAGTTAAGGGGACCTTGATGCAATTTTAGAATCTTCAATTTATTGCATTTTAATATATGATGCATTATTATGATTTATAAAAAGTTTAATTAGTGCACATTAATGATATAAAAAATGCACATTATTGTGCATTAAATTATACAATAAAAATTATGTAATTTAATGAAATCACAAATTTGCCATTGCTTATTGTGCTTATTGTCAGTTCGCTTATTTCGGTCATTTTGAACAATAATATCGACTTATAACTGAAATTTTCAAAATTTTAAAAGGGAAAAGTAGATAACAAATTGAAATGTTAGAACTGAAATAATTGAGTCGAACTTTAGGAAAAGCTAATCCGACTGAACTGTTGTCCCAGTCAAATTAAAATCAAACCAAAATACTTTGTTTATTTGGCCGATTAACTGAAATAATCAAAATAATCGTAGTAAGTTATAATTTATATTATAAAAATATAATTTAAATTTGAATTTTTGATTTTTTCTGAAAAGAACTAGTATATTTACAAAAACATTTTTAATATAGTTTGGTCGCATCAGTAATTTTAATTATTTTAAAGTAAAGTTGGAACCAAATTAAAATAACAATCATTTTAAAATTAAAAAATGACAACCAACTCGAATATATTGTGCAATCCATCAGACATTAGAGTGCAATTCGTCGATCACTATTGTGCACTCATTTCGTATGAACTTTCAATGATTTTTCTTCGACCAAACTAAATCTGAACCGTTTATTCACTCAGTCAATTGAATTAAACTAATTATAATAAATTATTTTTATTTATATTTTAATAATATAT